AATCATTGAAGGTTTGGGGCTAGAGCGAATATCTTTTGCCTGGTTTAATATTCTTGACTCATGATTTAAGCAGGTTCATAGGACTGTTCCATTTTCCAAGTAGAAAGATTTTCTACCATTCAACAAAAAATTCATTTTCTGGCTGGACGTGGTGGCTCATGCCTGTAGTCCCAGCACTTTGGGAGGCTGAGGTGGGCAGATTGCTTGAGGCCAGTTCAAGATCAGCCTGGCCTACGTGGCAAAACCCCATCTCTACTAAATATACAAAAATTAGCCAGGCGTGGTGGCACGCACTTGTGATCCCAGCTACTTGGGAGGCTGACGCAGGAGAATCACTTGAACCCAGTAGGTGGAGGCTGCAGTGAGCCGAGATTGAGCCACTGCACTCCAGTCTGGGCAACAGAGCAAGACTCTGTCTCAAAAAAAAAAAAAAAAAATCATTTTCTGTGTATGATGTAAGACAAGATTCCAATTATATCTGTTTTTCCCATGTGAAAAGCCAATTGTTCAGCACCATTTAATGAATAACCCGTTCTTTCCCTACTAACTTTAAATGCCGCCTCAGTCACACACCAAGTTCCCAGATGAGTCATACACCTGTCTCTAGATATTTACATTTTGTTCCCTACATTTTGTCATCTAGATTTTTATTGCTGTTCAGTTATAAATATTTCATAATTTTCATTTGATTTCCCCTTTGTCCATGAATTATTTTGAAGGAAGTTTTTAAATTTTCCAAATGTCTAGATTTCACAATTTGTTTAAATTTATTATAGAAATTTCCAAGCATCAGAATTCATTATTGCTTAAACTATCATTTGATTTCTAGGTATTACACTGAGGTGGGAGAGTGTGATCTGTATGACACAGTGCTGCTCTGTTCATTATAATAGTCATTAGCAACATGTGACTAGTGAGCACTTCACATGGGGCTATTAAACTGAGATGTGCTATATCTCTAAGACTTAACAAGAAAAAGCAATAATATTGGTAAAATAAAGTAAAATATATTATTAATTAAAATAATGTCTAGTAATATTATAATCACCTTGTTATTAAAATAATACAATAATTTATAGTAAAATAAATTTATCTGCTTTCTAAAATATTTTTAATCTAGATACTAGAAACTAAAATTATATCTATGGCTCACATTATATGTCTATTGGACAGCAATGATATCGATTATTTGGTATTTTTAACACCTGCTTTTGACTCAGCGTGTAGTCAATTTTTGTAAATATTCTTGTGTACTTGAAAAGGAATGTAGACTGCATTAGTGGGTAAACGGCTGTATATATGTTCATTAGATTAAGCCTGTTAATTGGATTACTCATCTATGCTATGTTCCTACTAATTTTTTTTGCCTCCTTTGTCTATCAGATTCTAAGAGAGGTATGTTAAAAAAAAAACTTACTACTAGAAGTGTGACAAATGCACACTTCCTACTAGAAGTGCGCATTTATTAATTTCTTCTTGCAATTATGTCCATTTCTGCTTTCTATATTTTGAGGCTGTGTTGTTAGGTGCATATGCTATGTTTTGAGTCTGAGGGTTGCTGTGTTTTTTAAGTGCTATCTTTTCTTTTGGAGGTTATTCAGATGTTAACATTGATCTCTGCAGTTAATCACCCTTGCTCCCTTCCCTCCACACCACACAAGAACTGGAGGGTGCTGTGACTCCTATCACTACCGTGCCTCCTCCTCATCTTCCAAATTTTTGCCTTCCAATATTTTTACACAAGTTTATTTTGATATAATGCATATATTTATTTTATTTTATTTTTGCATCTTCCTTCTCAATCCTTCCTTCTGCATTCAGTTTTCTTCTTACTGCAGAAAAGCCCTTAGTGATTCTTTCAGCAATGGTCTATAACTTTCAAATGTCTTTGTCCAAAATATTGGTTTACCTTCACTCTTTGAATGGTTTACTTACCTGGCAGATACAGAGTTTTAGGATGACTATTATTCAAAAGTGACAGTGAAACAACTACTCTAGAAGACACAATAGTGCCCCTCCCGCCCGCCAAAAGATGTCTACATCTACATCCTAATCCCTGGAACCTGTGAATATCATATTATGCGGCAAAGGATCTTTGCAGGTCTATCAAATTAAGGATATTGAGAGGGGGAGGGTATCCTGGATTATACAGGTGTGCTGAATGTAATCACAAGGGCCCTTATAAGAGGAAGGCAGGGAAATCAGAGGCAGGAGAGTAGATGTGATGGGGGAAGGAGAGGTATGTGCATGTGAGGGAGAGAAAAGGGAGAAAGAGAAGTGCAGATGGAGAGAGAAAGGAGGCCAGGGAGAGAGAGAGATTGAAAGATTCTACACTGCTGGCTTTGAAGATGGAGGAAGAGGCCCTGAGCCAAGGAATACAGGAAGCCTTTAAATGCCAGAAAAGGTAAGAAAACAGATTTACCTCTAGAGCCTCTGTAGGAGACAGCCTACAAAAATGACTCCTTGATTTTAGCTCAGTGAGACTGGTTTTGGATTCTGACCTCCAGAACGGTAAGGTAATAATTTGTGTTGTATTAAGCCACTGTTGTGATAATTTGTTACAGCAGCACTAGAAAATTACTACAACCACTAAGGACTGTATATTAGTAAAAAGGAAACTAGGCAGATTGAGTTCATTTTTTTTTATTATTATTATACTTTAAGTTCTAGGGTACATGTGCACAGTGTGCAGGTTTGTTACGTATGTATACTTGTGCAATGTTGGAGTTCGATTTAACAAGATCACAGAGGCTACAATTAGTAAGTTAATTATCACAAGGTTATTTCAATTTAAAGATATTCTCTCACCTTCTGACCTTTTCCTTTTTCATCCCTTTTTTGTTTTTCCTTCCTTCTTTCCTCCCTCACTCTTTCCTTCCCTTTATTTTTCTTTCTTTCTTTTCTATTTTTCTTCCTTCCTTTCCTCCCTTTCTCTCCTTTCCCCCTTGCTTCTTCCCCTTCCCCTTTCCCATTTATAGATTTACCCAAGCTACCTGGAATAGTGTCTGGCATAAAGTAGGAGTTTAAGAAATATTTGGGGACCATGTAGAATGCATGAATAAATGAATAATAAGTTTTATGCCACTGTAATTGTTGCTCCTTGGTAGGTAATTGGACTTTTCATCCTGGTCATTCTGAAGGCTTTCTTTGTATCCTGGGTGTTTTTCTATGTCCTATGGTACACCTAGGTGTGCATTAATTCTTATTTCTGCTGCTGGACTCATTTGCTTCCTAACATAAGGATTCATGTCTTTCGTCAATTGTAGAATATTCTCCAGCTTTTCACTTATGTCAGTTGTGGAAGAATAAGATATTTTTCCTGTAACTAAAAAGTGTCTTTAAAATAACTGAATCTTTTTTATTTTAGTTGGAAAATGTGTTCTTTTCTTAAAAAGAAAATGGGAAATATCAAAATCACAAGCTGTAGTCACAATTTGAAGTAAACAAATATGATTCTCTGCAACAACAATCTACCACATGCAATTCCCTAAAACAAATATTCATGGTTTCAAGTTCACAAGTCAACAGTCCTTAGAAATGCTAAAAGAAGAAACTTGTGTATTACAGAAAAGTTTTTTCACTCTTGTTAGTAAACTGAATTGAAAGAAACTCAGTTTCCTGACTTCTCCTTCATCTAAAAGATGAATGGCTAACCTAGTACTCTGTATCCTTGAAAGCTCTACTGGAGCTGTCTTTCTATTCTTCTGATGATCTTCATTAACTGTTTATGAAACACATGTCTTCTACTTTTCTATGACAATTTTAACAAATGCTCCATTAAACTTATTCAAGGCTTATGATAATTTAGTTCCACACCACCATTCTTCCTATTCTCTATTTCTAGAAATTCTCTGCATGCTGGACTTTTGCTTTCTATTCTGTGTGCTGCTTAAACTCTCGTGTGTTCCATCTTTATTTTCTGAATCTCTCTCTGCCATTATCTAGATAGTTTCCCCAAATCCATCTCCTAATTCATTCTCTCTTTCGGAGTGCCTGGTTTGCTTTTAATGCAGTCATTGAGTTTTTAACTCAGTGCCTACATTTTTATTCCTAGAAGTTTTATTTGGTTCTGTTCAAAATGTTTTAGTTAATTTCATTGTATTCTATTACTTCATTATGGCTTCTACTTTTTTCTTTATTTTTTAGCCATGTTAAAGTGAACTTATTTTATAGTTCTTTTAACATCATTGAACTCTGATTATCCTATTAGTTGAGTCTGATGACTCTCAGTTATTGTGGATTTTTTCCTTATTGCTTTATAGTTTTCTTAGGAGGGACTCATTAATAGGGATTTTTTTAAAAAAGCAGTTCAGTACATCCTAGATTATGGGAGTATTCTCCCATACAGTTTGCTTCTGTTGGATACCTTTAGAAGTGCATAGGCCCAAGACCAGTGTTTACATCAAATTTTCAGAATGAGACTCCCACATGGTGATATAAATTCAGATTCAACTTTTGCAAGTGATCTAGGCATCAAATTTTTGGGTTTTTTATTAGAGGACACTGGGGCTTTCTTACTGATTCATTTTGCCCTGGGAAAGAGCTCTTGTTTTAAATGGAGGACCAGTCCTTTATGAAAGGTTCTCACTAACTACTCTTCAACTGATGCAGGTTCCATGTATGATCTTTAAAAGCTCATCCTAATAGTTAGGGTCTACAGCCAGATACCATTGTGACTGGAGAAATACTGTATCAGCTTAAGAACAACAGGCTAGTACCAACCTGGCATGAAAGGACATCCCCTTATGAAGTAGGAGATGAAAGTAGATGCCATCTATTCAATGTTTCTACTAAGTTTTAGTTTTTTTAATCTGATGATTAGAACTGCTTATGGATCCTGCATTAAATTGTTGAAACCAATAAGACAAACAACAGTGTATAATGCATTCCATAGTTGAGTTTTTTATTTGAACTTAAGGACACATAGAAAAAGAATTCATTTATGGCTGCTGCGATGTTGTACCATGGGGAAGGAAAATGGATTTGTCAACCCTGGAGTGAGGTTCTGCCTACCCGAGGCTGCTGGCATGTGGAGATCCCCTGGGTGAAACCACTGTCACCATGTCTGACCAGGAGGCAAAACCTTCAACTGAGGACTTGGGGGATAAGAAGGAAACAAAATACATTAAACTCAAAGTCATTAGACAGGATAGCAGTGAGATTCACTTCAAAGAGAAAATGACAACACATCTCAAGAAACTCAAAGAATTATACTGTCAAAGACAGAGCGTTCCAATGAATTTACTCGGGTTTCTCTTTGAAAGTCAGAGAAGCGCTGATAATCATATTTCGAAAGAACTGGGAATGGAGGAAGAAGACATGATTGAAGCTTATCAGGAACCAACATTCAACAGTTTAGATATTCTTTTTATTTTTCTTCTCCACTCAATCTTTAAATTTTTTTTTTTTTTTTGGTAATGTGGTGTTCAAAATGAAATTGAAAACTGGAACCCCAATCTTTTTAAAACAGCTGCTAATTTGAATTCTAATGTTCATTATCCATTATTGTTTGTTTTCATCGTGCTGACTTTTGGTGATCAAGCCCAGCCCCCTTCGTATTGCCGTCTCCTTTTGAAAAAGTACACGTGTGCACAGAGAGGCTACCTTTCTCAGGACCATATGTTTTTGGGCATTTGGTGATAAATGAGATAGATCAATCCAAGGGTTCATAATGACTTTCCAGTTGGCCCTGAGGTTCTAGCATGTGATGGCTTACTCCTGGACTATGACTTTCAGTGGCAGGTAGAAGTTTTTCAGAGAACTGGACTGAGGAAAAATGACCTTTTCTTAACTTGAAGCTACTTCAAGAAAGAAGAGGAATATCAGGTTGAAGTCAAGACAACAGATAAGGTGAGAGTAATGCCTAACTCCAAAGATGGCTTCATTGAAGAAAAGGCATTTTAAGATTTTTTAAAAATCTTGTTAGGGCCAAGCACAGTGGCTCATGCCTGTAGTCCCAGCATTTTGGAAGGCCAAGACAGGTGGATTGCTCAGGCTCAGTAGTTCGAGACAAACCTAGCCAACATGTCAAAACCCATCTCTACTAAAAGTACAAAAAAAATAAAACATTGGCTGGGTATGGTGGTGCACACCTGTAGTCTCAGCTACTTGGGAGGCTGAGGCAGGATAATCGCTTGAACCTGGGAGGCAAAGGTTGCAGTGAGCCGAGATCATGCCGCTTCACTCCAGCCTGGGTGACAGAGCGAGACCCCATCTCAAAAAATCTTGTCAGACCCCAGAGCAGTTCTAATTTTCATTAACAATTTAAAAAGTTTTCATGCAGAAATGAATACAACAGAATACTGTTCTTCTTTATTTTATTTGTAATTTTTGGCCTGGGCTATGCATTTTAAATGGACGTAGTCTGTACCTGCTTTATTAAACAATATTTGTAAAAATTGTAGAAAAGAAAAATAATCCATTTATCTTGTGGCTGGGTTAAAGAGTTTTCTTGGTGTCCTGAGGGTATATGACCAACAGTCTATGACTATGGAGAAATCTCAGTGTATGCAAAGATCTAACATTATACTGTAATCTTCACCTAAGACTCAGAAAAGAACCACTTCACTCATAGTTCCAAAGCTAGGTTGCTCCCATCCTCTACTGGGAACTTGAAGACTCTTTCAAATTCCCTTACCATTTTTTGTAGCTCATACATTGACCAAAGTTGTGAGTGGGTTACATGAAGCTAAGTATTTTTAAAATTTTTCTTTTATTTTTCTTCTTTCTATTTTTTTCTTATTAAAGATTTGTGACTTTGTGGATTCACCATTTATAAGATCATTTTTTCTTTCTTTTTTGTATTTCCTCTCCCTTCCTTTCTACCTTTGTTTTTTCATTCTTTCCTGTTCCACTGAAGTCTTGAATCTAATGTCTGGGAAACTGGGAAAGAAGAAATTATTGGAAGTTCCTCCCAACAGCCATTGGACATACCTTTCCCTTGTGTATATAGATTTAGTATTGTATAATGAGGTTTTACTTACTGACCATTGTTATGTTATCATGTATGTCTACATTACCTATTCTCAGCAAATGAAAGGGAACATGATTACTCCACTGAGCAGTGTCTCTAGGACTCTTCTTGTTTGTTTCAGAGATTAACAGTTTAATAAAGCAGCAATGCAAGAAACTAAGTCCATTAACTTTCACTTTTCTTAGCTGCATGTAAGTTACTAATTATAACAGAAAGGTCATTCCTAAGGAATTACTAACCCTCAAATGATATGAGATAATTATTCCCAAGAGAATCAAACAAATTTGTAAGACAAATACACTTGAAATTTCAGACATCAATCTCTCTCTCTCTTTTTTTTTTTTAACCACAGCCTGGGAACAAGGGAACTATGAAATATAATTTTACCCCAAGGTCCAACAAATGACTACATGAAAATAATTTCTCTCCTGCCAAAAAAAAAAAAAAAAAAAAGGAAAAGAAAAAAAGAAACCCTTTATTTTGGTACATTGCCTAATACTTGTGCAGACTGTTGTTTTGTTTAAATAATAAAAATTCCCTGAAGGACAAAAATTATTCTCTATCAAATATTGAGTTTTAAAAATAATTCGCTATAAATTTTAGGAACCATTTGCTCTGTATTAGTCAACAATTCAGTGTTAAGTTAGTTGAGTGTGTAACTGGTGGAATATGGGACCAGGCTTCTCATTTAGGTCAGCGTTTTACCAGTTTAGTCTCTCCTGACTTCCCACTGAAACACACACAAAGACATTGAAAGAGATGAAAATGCACATCATTATCAGAAAGGGGAACTCAGTCAACCCACAGACCAAATATGAGAGGAATTTCATTTAGATTTAAGACCAGTTATCCTAGATTTTAAAACCATTAGTCCACCTCCTCGAGCAGTGCTTGTAGAAAGAGGAAAAAGAAGTCACCTTCGGTACCAAAATCTCAGAGGCAATCCCTTTTGGCAGAGTTTCCCAAACCAGTATATTCAGGAGTTTAATTACTAAGAGTTGTTTCTTCTGAAAAGCTCACATAGCCAAAAGTTTGGGCCCTTATGTAAAATATACCTCCTTTTAGAGAGTCAGAAAAAAATTACCTATATTAAAGTTTCTGGATGTTCTTACAGAGTAAAAAATGTATTTAGTTTTGTTTAACTTAGAATTTCTACATGTGTTTAATCACACAACCCCTTTTTTTTCCCTGCAAAATACAACCTGTTATCTTACAGCACCATTTCCAAGGGGCATACTTGGGAATGCTATGTGGTACATAGCTGCATAGATGCTGCTTTCTAAATGTCAGAATGTTATTTCTCTTTTCCTTCCTCTTTTTAAATGTCAAGTTTGAGAGCAAATTTTTAAGAAATAACGAGGTATCAGAGCTGGGAGAGACTATGGTAGAAAAAAGCCCCTATAATAGAGTAGACTAAGATAAGAATAAAGGCGTATGTAATGAAAATGAAGAGCAGTAAGTTATAAAAGCATTGTAAAGGCTCATATATTAAGATATTCCACAAATGCAATTTAAGTGTAAATATTAAAAGTATTTTAATTAAGCAAGTTATTCTACAGTTCATGTGGAAAATGGACCACAAAAATAGCCAGACACAAATGCTGAAAAAGAAGAGTAATCAAGAGAATTAGCCACACCAGTTTGGCCTCTTTGTATAAAGAACACGTAAAACAAGGCAGTGTGGCTACATAAATAAGATTGCTGTCAGTGGAAGAAAACAGAACATCTGGAAGTAGATCAAAATACATAAGGGAATTCAGTGTACGACAAAAGTAGCTTCTCAAATCATTGAGAAGAAATTGTACTAACCCTTATCTAGGCCTTCACGCTGTGCCAGGCTGTGTCTAAGCACTTTGCATACACTAAATCATTTCATTCTCACAACTGTCTGCAGAAGGCAATATTAACTTCCATTTATAGATGAGGAACCCAAGGCTAGTAAATGAGCTAAGTTTGGATTCAAATCCAAGCTATAGATTCTGTACTTTAAACTTTTACACTCATCAAGCCATTAAATAAAAATGTTCACCAAATCATCAAATAATTACTATTAAGTTAAAAAAAAAAAAAAGCAGGATATGACCCTGAAAGATGTAGAGATGACTTCAAATTGTACATATGTATTTACACAATTATATGTTTATATCTATATCTGTATATTATAATACTTAGAAGGAAAGGCACCAACAATAGTTAGTAGTTTGGGAATTATATTATAGAAAAGCTTAATTTAATTTTTGTTTGTTTGTTTGAGACAGAGTCTCACTCTGTCACCCAGGCTGGAGTGCAATGGCACGATCTCAGCTCACTGCAACCTCTACCTCCCAGGTCCAAGCAATTCTCCTGCCTCAGCATCCAAAGTAGCTGGGATTACAGGCATGCACCACGACAGCCAGCTAATTTTTGTATTTTTAGTAGAGACGGGGTTTCACCATGTTGGCCAGGCTGGTCTCGAATTCCTGACCTCAGGTGATCTGCCCGTCTCAGCCTCCCAAAGTGCTGGGATTACAGGCGTGAGCTACTGCGCCCAGCCAGAAAAAGCTTAATTTTAAATTTGTAATTTGATATAATTTTCTAATTTCCTACAATGACATAGCTTTTATGACTGAAAAAAAAAAAATAAAAGTACTAAGAAACAAAATCAGATTTGGAGAGAAAATAATCTTATATTGTTAAATAGTATAAGATGTAAAATAATAGGATATTTACATAAGGATATGTAGCTTATGGCTTAGGCTACAAAATCCACAGTAATCTTGAAACTTCAAAAAATATTGTGCTTGTGGATGGCCCCAAGCTCTGCCCAGGCCCTGTAAGGATACCTGGCTCCTGTTGGCTGCCATTAGTGACACTTCCAAGAAAGAGTTTGAGAAACACTGGGTTAAGTCTTGAAATGGCGGGATGAGATATCAGGGGTGTTAAAAATAATCATTCCATGACTCTTTCTGGCTAATTATATCAAGTTATTAAGATACCTAATGAAAGATTGGCCATAGACTCCATCTTCTGAAACCTGTTCGAGAAAATCTAGATTTTTCCCTGCCAAACAAATTGTGGTTGAAGATTTACGATGAGTTGCTCGATTCTTTATATCCTTTAAGCCCAACCCTAGTAGACTTACAACATGAAGAAATTATTCGAGAGGCCCTTAGCCATTGTTCCTCTTGTATATAGCAAGCCATCGTAAGGCATTTGAGACAGATAAAAATTCACATTTTTAAAAAAGACATATAGAGAAAGAAAGGATGACTATATTGACCACAAGGTTGTTTTGGGCCACAGTGATGTTGAAATGCTACCTCCTGGGGGGACATTTTGTGGTCCCCCTGTCCCTTGCAAGCTGAGTCTTCTTCCTTTAGTCTCGTCGTTCATAACATTTAGGATACTGTGTTGTTAACTTTGCTTTCTTGTGTGTGTCTACTCCAGGATTGCAAACTCTTTGAGA